CTGTCCCTCAAGGAGAACGCGGATGGCTTGTTTCTGCGGCGGTGTCTCATGTACTTGAACAGTACGTTTTTGTTTTTTTCGAGCGAGGTCCAGAATGGTGGCTTGTTTTCGTATGTTCCATTTGCGGATTTCCGATTTACAGCGATTGCGCATTTTACGAAATGATAGCTCACCTTCTGTGTCCCCCGTGGTCAACTTTTTGAAATGAGTTGGGATCTTTTTTCCAGAAGTCGCCGAATCCTTTTTGGCAGCCTGCGGTTCATCCGAGTGCGTGCCGGTTTTCTTGGGACGAATGTCGCCTCAGCCTCTTCAACTTGCCGGACAATGCTCCTATATAGTTCTTCCACCGGAGCTGGTCTCAGTGTGACTTTTTCAAGGAAGATGTGCATTCCTGAAAAGTCTCAACGGCAGAACTATCGAAACCACGTTTGAGGTTTGGGATTTCTGGCCCAATAGCAGCTTAAATCAAAGGTCAGCACACAGCGGACGCTATGCCCCAGTGGAGCGTTAATTGTTACCTGATCAACGAAGTGTCTTTCGTTGGTGATGACCAAATCCAAAAGGGATGGTAGTTGGCCTGCGCGGTATCTGGTGGTTGCAGCGACATGTTGGGTCCAAGCGCTCTGTTGAACGGCTTCTAACAGCACCGCTGCAAAACGTCCGCCTGATTCGACGCGCTGGAGCTCAATCCAGGAGGCCTTTGGGGCGTTGAAGTCACCCACCAGCAGGAGATGAGTGAAATGGCAGTTGGAGGAGAGTTGCTAAAGGGTTTGTATGAGGAATTGGTGATCTTCAGGGGGACTCGAAGGGCTACGGTAGACCACGCCGAGAAGAAGAGAATCGGACCCGCGAAGCGGGATTTGGACCCACAGTGCATCGCAAAAGGGTGCAGGGATGGTGTCAGAGAGGACAATCGGGATTGGTAGGGCCGCATGTAAGTACAGAGCAACTCCACCAGCCCTCCCTCGTTTTGAGTCAGCTCGTAAAATAGAGTAACCGTCTATCGAGACCTCCGCGTCAGAGACATCTGGTGTGAGCCAGGTCTCTGTGGGTGCGATTATGGACGGTTTATCAAGGCAAGCTGACTGATTAGCATCGCAGAGTTTGTTGAAATGGCTGAGGCAGTCTGTGTACAAGCATTTCAACACTGTCTCTGCGGCCTCCTAGGGTGAGGAGCCGAGAGTTCAGTGACCAGGCTGGTTAGCAGACTTAATAGTTGTGCACCGTGTTTGAGTCTGAGTCCAAGGCTCCAAGGGGGTTCTGGGACGATGTTGTCTGCTTCCTGTCTTTGTGGTTTCTGGGAGTGCTTTTCGCCTGCGAGGTTTTTACGTTCCGTGGGAGCTTGGTTTGCTCGGGCCTTTTGGCTCTGTGGGACGGAGTTTTTTCCCCATGGGCGAAAATTTTGACCAATGCTGTTTGTAGCTCTTTCAGCATCCCTTTATCGTCCACCAAATGTGCTGTTGATCAAAGGTTTGCTGCAGGTTTTCGCCATTCTGGATCCTTGAGAGTTTTGGCGCGGTTTAACCGGAAAAGTGTCTCTGTGAGGCCCTGAGCGCTGTGTGGTGGCACCAAAAAGTAACGATTTTGGTGGCGCTCCCAAGAGGCTCGTTTTCGCGGAGGACTGCACCTTGAAGCCAGCCAGCAGTTTTCTGATATGGCGAGTTTTATATGGCTTTTTGGCTGCAGTCGCTCTTCTTCCGTGTTCGTGTGAACACCCGATCCGCCAGCGATCAGCCTGGCCAACTGGATGTACGAGGGGTTTTCCGGATGGCTGTAGTCATGTTTGTGGCTTTGGGTTCAGGGTCCTGGCTGACG